TCAGTCCACCTCTAGCCGACCCACTTGTATTTATCTCCAATAACATAGTTACAAGAAAGACCATATTGTCCCTCATAAGTGATGGGACACATAACTTAAACTTAAAYAAAATAGACCTTTYACTCTYARATAGATAAACCCAAATGACCAAAATACCCCTGATTTGTGTATTCTAACAACTATAAACAGTTTTCAATCTCACATACTTTTGTTAGTTTTGAAAGGATCACAATGTGCTCAGCAACATGAAATACAAAATAAATTCAACTCAACTAAGACTTAGACCCACTGATTAGGATTAACAATATAGCATTCCACTATATACAAAACCCAACATCTAATATCCAAACACAAACTAGTTAAAATCTGCACCTTTTTTGTCATACTTTTTCCCTCTTGGAGAGTTCAGTTTTAACCAAGTTGCTGACATTGGTGCAATCACTGTTCTTCTACACACATTAGCAAAATCCTTCTCAGTTGACTTTCTTCATAGCCTCATTTCACCTACCTGTCGTCCGGTGCTACCTTGTGTTTCTGTTTATACTCCTCTCTAATTGTATACTTCCTAATTCCCACCCATCCATTTCAACATTCTCATCTCCGTTTTGTAAAGAATTGTCAGTTCTATGGCCATCATATATAATTTTCCTTTCAATCTGACAAGGTATGCATTGGACTGTCATCAGAAGACATTCTATTAGTCCATCTTCAGTTAATCCACCTTATTCTAACTATATGGACAACACCATCTTAAATCTTTCCCTCATTGTGGATAATCAAATCAAGGTGGCAAATGGTCTCTTAAGGATATCTCTTGGTCATCAATACTAAATGTTCCTCATTCCTGTACATGTGTTATCAAAATTGTGTTGCATGTGTTTCTGTTCAAATCCAACTTATTTTTAAATATTATATGTTCCTCCATTCCAAGGCAAGGTGGTTCGAAAAACATTTGAAACCTCAAACCCATGAGCCAAGGTCTCATCCCCAACAGCATATTAAGCACCTATACAACTTAAGTTCATAGATTGTATTATCACTTTCCTTTTCTCTGCCTCAATAGATGTCATACCCAATTTTTTACCAACACCGGCCATATGCTTTACCCTTCTCCGTTCCTCAATACCCCTACGAAACCCAAGGTATTAGTTTTATATAGACGTGAAGATATGAATGTAATCCATCTGTCAGAATCATCTTTCAGTTCAGAAAGCTCTGATTTCACCTTTACTTCCAACTTATGGAAGCATTCCTGCATCTATAGGTCTGATAATGTTGATGATGAGCTCAACAACCTATATTTAAGCATAATGATCAATTCTCAAACAAGGTCAAAGAAATGTAAGAACTGGATTCTCCTCCCTCTCGCAGCCTATACCAGGCAAATTTACAGGAAGGGAGACTCCCTAAAATTCCAATGTTAGGTACAAACCTGTGTGACTTCAACATTGCTTCCACAGCAGCATAGTAACCACATTCAGGAATTTCTTTCCAGTTCAACACTACATTTGAAAGAAATAATGCTACTAAAAGAAGAACAAGAAGATTCATACATCTAAAGAATGCACTCGTAAGAAGTTTCTACAACAACTGACTTTATGTGCTAACAGCATCATTTAAATACATAACAACGAAATGTAATGCAAATAAGTCAATGGGTTCCAATGATACAAAGCATCAAAGTAATCCCACTGATAGTTAAAACAAGTCGGTTCCAGGCTCCAAAGATACCACAGAAGAAGGGAAAATTTCAGAAAGGTCCAAAGAAGATGGGACTAGCTCCAAACTAACAAATAGAGCATTAGTTAGTATCTTTATATCCAACACTTCCCAATATGAGTTTAATTCTGCTAAGGGTATTATATATATATCGTTGTCATGTCAACCTGAAACAATTAAAAGCAATTCGAGAATTACAATATCAAGAAAGCGAATACTTATTTAACCTATTAGCAAAACAAACCTGATTACAAGCTCGAAGCTCCGAATTTACGTTAAGCATTAGACTCAATTAAGATTAAAATAAGCAATTCAGAAATAAACAAAGCTAATAATAAGAATTCCCAAAGGGAAAAAGTCGCAACAAAAGGAAATTCAGGCATTAATTGAAGTATAAGAAACAGAAATTCAAACCCTAGGAAAAGAGTTCTTTAAAAACTATGACGAATTCCTAGATTTGGGACGGGACTAGATTGTTACCTGAATTGGTCAAACTAGCAGAGCTTTCTGAATACGAAGATGAATCCCTGGATCTTCTAAATATGACGAGAGAGAGAGAGAGAGAGAGGTTTCAGTTATGAAGTCATTGTAGGTCGTTGAAGCTTCATGGAACAGGGGAGGCGAGTGAAAATGCGACAGAATTCAATGAGGATGGAGAAATTTTGGTTATTTTATTATGAGTTGGCTTCTGTGGAGATGAAAACTATGGAAAACATTGGGAATATTGATTCTGGCAGAGTTCCACATTGGCTTGGCGGCAGTTGTGAAATTTGATGAGAGAGTCAGAATTATTGTGTGAGAAGTACGTCAGAGAGAGAGAGAGAGAGGAACGAAGGACGGAAGGAGTTAGTGGCCTGCGTCAACCGCCATCCACGACAAGCCATGTGTTCCGTCTGATATGTGGAGCCAGTGACCCAGTGAGGAATATGTACGACACAGTACAGACCGTTAGATCTGAAGATCTTTTGCTTCTGAAACAACGTAATGATTAAGGTTAACGTCTCTTTTCATTATAACATTTTAGGGTTGGTTATCTCTTATATATATGATCATATCAACTTCGGGGTCGGGGTGGGCCAAATAGGAAAGGCGTTTGCTTTCTATTTCAGGTCCGGGTTCGACTGGTTGGGGCCTGGGAGGAGTTGATTCAGTTGAAGTTAGTAAGGCCCACTGACTTTTGGGCTTTGAATTGGCCGGGTCCGGTTATACCAGTGTTAAGGTACATCTATTCTATTCTATATACTTAAAAAACGCAGTTTTCCACGTCAGCAGATTCTCTCTCCTCATATTGCTTTCTAACCTCTTAGAATTTTGTGTTTTTTAAAATAAAAAAGTAATCAAACATTAAACCATTTAAATAAAAATAACAAAAAATGGGTAGAATCCATCAATCCATATCCAAATCATGGGCCAGGCAGCATAACTGAACAGGTCCTCCAGCACTCCAGCTAGAAATCACACGTCTTGACTAAGTTTCTTTAGTGGGACCCGCTAATTGAAATGGGAATTGACCTGATGAGCATTTCTCTCACGATCACGACTCCCACACAGTGAAGATTATCTGGAAATCAACTATAGAGGTGGACGAATTTAGCAAGGTCAAGTTCAACCGAAGCCTTAGTACACCACAAAATCGAGTGACCTTTTCAGTTTTCAACAAAGCTAAGGCTTTTTTGAACGGAATTAGTAGTATGCCACGAAAAACTATCAAAAGCTACTGGCCATTGGCCATTTGCTTTTACATGTGCGATGTGCCCCAATCATATTCTGAAATTGAACACCTGTCAAAGCAATGGTAACTTTTTTTTTTTTCTTTTTTTGTCACAAAGCAATAGTCACATAAAACCCTAATCCGTTCTTTCAAATGAATAAATAATTTTTGTTCTCTATATTTCACTCAATTTTATGATTGTTTGGTTTGGATAATAAATTCATGTGAATTGCTGATAAATTTTTGTTGGATCAATATCATAGTAGTACTATGGTAGGAATCATGTGTTGCTGATGATTAACAGGTTGGTAAGTTAAATAAGATAAAATTAATATATTGTATTTCAGATGCCAGTGTCTCAACTCAATGCAACCAATTTCTCTATAACAACCTATATGGACTCACCAACAAATTATTTCCATATCTCTAACCATATAACACCACCACTGTATATTGGGAACATCTCTATAAATGACAAGGGATATATTCCTATGGCAGAGCTGTAATGTCCTATTGATAGAGATAGAGGAACAACTTGTGGGCAGTAGATCCAAGTCCACTCAATACAATCACTTTAACTATCAACCTTTTTTTTCTCTCCGCCCCACAATGCCCCACAGCCCATCCTCGCCGTGTATTAAGAACATCTTCCATGATAATATCAAAACTGATGATGTCATCATCAGATGTTTTCAATACACAGCAGAGATGGGCTGTGGGGCGTTGTGGAGCGGAGATGTGAACTCCCTACTAACGCTAAACCTCTCTAATTACTTTGATCCCATGGGCCCACCAATTATCCACCTATTAGACAATTAACAATATGTCAAAGTAAATTACATTGATGAAATTGAAATAATTTAACGAGACAGTATGTATAATTGTCACAACATTCTAAGGTACTCTATAGTACCTTCCAATAACTTAATACCAAAAAGAAAATCACTATGTGATTGTCAACTTGTCATGTAGACAAGCCAATACTATTAGTGGGTTATTGTATCATAACCTAACTCTACTAGCTCTTTGGTAACAGCTGCAACATACCTATTGGCCATCACTAGTGGATATCTACCAGGCAGAACTACAAACCTCCGGACCTACTGGCTTGGAATATGGTGTCCATCCGTTACGTTTTTCTTGAAGAGATGGTGGGTAAGGGTGTCGCTGGATCGGTTTTGGATTGGACCCCGTTCCGTCCAAAATCAATTTAAACCGATTGGACGGATCAATTAGGCATTGGATTAAACCAATTCAGTTCAAAATATTTATTAGTTCGGATTGGACCTGGTCCATCCGTAACAAATTTATATTGGATTGGGATTGGGATTGGGTTGGATTAAGTTAATATCTAGTCCATTGATATAAGATAAGAATGTATGTGTCAATGAATCGGGTTTGGGTTGAACCAATCTAAATCAAAATGAATTTGAATAGATTGGATGATCCAGACATTGAATTGGACTGGTCCAAATTGGTCAAAACATTCATTGGATTGGATTGAACCTGGTCCATTTATAATGGACTCACATTGGACTGGATGGATTGGACCAAATCCTGTCCAATTGACACCCCTAATGGTAGGTGATATTCCTGAGAGTTCTTTTATAATTCTCAAATGGATAATCTAATAATGCAAAGATTAAACCATATGATAGATAGGAGGTCAAATCAGTCCCCCACAACGTCCTACAGCACATCCCTGCCGTGTATTGGGAACATCTCCTGATGATAATACCAGAAATGATGATGTCATTATCAGCAGATGTTTCCAATACATGGTGGGGATGTGCTGTGAGACGTTGTGGGGGGCTGATTTGATTTGATCTCGATAAATAGACTGTGTATTTCAAATAATCATTCAGCATAAAAAGCTTAAACTGTTAGTTGAAGTTTTTAGATAGGATTATATTATCTAATATGCCCCTCATGAAAAAAATTATTAGGTTTGAAGCATGGACAAACACAACTCACCAATACCTTTGTGGTCAAACACTTGACCACTTGATCAAATAGGCTCTGATATCATCTCAAAGAATAGGTTGAATGGTATTTTGAAATGGTTTGTTTGATCCTCACCACCCCACATTGTGATTGATTACATTTCAGCACAATATATGAGTGAATTTGTATTTGTCCATGCTTCATCTAGGGATACCAATGAACTTCAAAATGAATGTAAACATACTGTGCAGCAGGAGGCAATTTGCAGAGCCAGCTAGACTTAGCATAAAGTAGAAGTAACATTGGGTTGGCCCAGTTCTTGGGCCTTCCATATGGGCCCATCACCGTACTAAGGCAGCTCAGGCCGAGCCATAGGACTGTATGGTGCATGCCCGCTGTTTGGCTACAATTATTAAATGAGGGAAAATAATATATAAATGTGTTGCCACAAATATTGCAAAATTAACTACTCGTTGAAAATGAAATGTAAACACTATTGGGTAACTCAAAAATCATTTTATAAATGACTTATATCCCATTTGTCATATTTCCCCATAACAAGGTTGAGCCTGGCCCAGACATTACTGGACCCGCAAATATCGAAAACCTAGGCCCAACCCAGGCCTTTCATTGCCACGCCAGTGTGCATGTTATGACTTGTATGAATTTTCTCCCAAGGATTTATATTTTAATAATGCTTTGAAACAGTAATCCTTAGGAAACAGATATTATATTTTATCAAGTTTTTAATATACAAGTAGCACTGAGTGAGGACGTGTGATGCATCGACTGTGTTAAGCAGAATTAAAGCAAAAAATAAGTTATGACATTTCGATGATGTGGTCCAAATCCAACCCAAGCATTTTATAGGAATTAATAAATTTTATTATTTTTAAATAAATTCTAATTAAATTAAATGGAGATCAATTAGTGGGCAGTTTGATAAATTTACGGGTTAATTAAAGAAATGAAACCTTCTAATGAATCAATCACTCACAAAAACTCAATCATATGCGAATGGTGCCAACTTGATCACATGCAAGTATTTATTAAGAGGATATGGTGGAATACTATACTCTACACAATTTTCAGGCTTGAACTGGACCACACGGTTGGACCATTCGAACTGGCAACAACAGTCAAAAACCTTTTTTTGTTGCATGATTGAGTGGGGTGAAAGATACCCTAAAATACATTTATTGATAGGCCTTATAGTAAGCTTTTATATTTATTATTTTACATTAATTTTGATGTAATATGACTTTACAACATAATATGAATGAAATTATTATGTTTTTAATTTCTATGAAAACTGAAGAGTAGAATGATTGACCTACGATCCAATAATTTAATAGGACTGAGGTAGGAATCTTTAGGGACAACCGAGATGACGATGGAGCCTCGACGCATCCCAACATTCTCGATAATAAAAATGATTCAAGCAAAAGATTTGAGCTTGGTTTCCACACAAGGACAAGGACGACTTCACCACCCAAAGCGAGTCTTTTGGGTTTTGGCCCTTATTTATAACTCTTGAGTTTGAGAAGTGAGGTCTATGTCAACTTTTGCGAGAACGGGCAGTCGGCCTCCTAACTATTAGTCCTGTTTGGCCTCTAGTCTCTGGGTATGGACCAAAATCGATCATGACCAATCAATCACTCTAGAGCCTACCCAAAAACAAATACAATGCATTCGTGTAAAGAAAAGATTCCCCAAAGTACATCAAGTACAGATCTCAGTTTTTTTTTTTTTTGATGTGCAACGTGAAGTGAACCAATATGACTGCTTTCCTCTTCACAATAATATTGTAGCCCAGTCTCCCATTTTGAGCTAAAGAATACACGCAATGAATCTGTGGAAAGGACTGAACCTGCTAGACTCTTGGCTTGGAATGTGCTTAAAGTTTTAAAAGCCTGTCGATTGGAGAAACTTGCTTGCAATATATAATTTCCAGCGGTTATCAATATAAGCCAAATGTTCTGAATTATCAATTCAAACAAAACAACGAACAAGGCACTGTTATGACACAGTTTTAGGCTTTTATCAAGTGGAAGGAAAGGTGTCAAGACTAAAGAAGTCTAACCGTATTCGCCATCCTCTTCTCTTCTCTCCAAATTAAATTTGCTAATTTTTAATCCTTTTACATGGAAAAAAAAGGATTAATTCCATTTCCATTTCTATTTAAAAGCCAATACAAGTTGGAGGTGTGGAGCCT